ATTGGCAGCTCCTGACTATTCCATCCATGTACAACACAAACAGGATAGAGGACAGGACGCAGTCTTGGAGGAGACCAGTACGAACGTTGAATGGTTTCGACTTAACGCCATTAACTCTGACGCAGCAGATGCTAACAGAATACAGTGATTGGATGGCCCTTAGCAGCTGGCAATCAATCCCGCATGCACAAAGTCATGTCTACAGACTGTTGCATGGGATCCGGTCATACGCTTTGTCTAGGTCCACAAAACACATGTACACCGGCTGGGCGTACTCCCACGATTTCTCAACAATCTGGCGCAGGGCATATATATGGTCACAGGTGCTCCGACCGGGCCGGAAGCCACACTGCTCTTCTTGGATCTTGACTTCAAGTATTTCACGGCAGCTCCTTTCTAACACCTTTGCGTAGACTTTACCTGGGAGGCTCAATAACGTTATGCTCCTATCATTGCAGCATTCCTTGTGGTCTCCCTTCTTGAATACGGGTACAATAACTCCCGTTCTTCAGTCCGCCGGTGTCTTTCCCGCAGTCATCGCAGTTTGACAGACACGTGTTAGCTAGCACATGCCTTGTTCGCCTAATGCCTTGAGCATCTCAGGGTTGATTTTGTCAATTCCAGCAGTTTTTCCATTTTTTAGGCTTTTCATAGCTTGTGTAATTTCATCTACACAGATAGTAATATCAGTACCGTTCTTCTCTACAGGCGAGTCTTCCTGTGGTTGCGGGGGTAGGGAGTTCCTCAAAGTACTCCCTCCTTCGCCGAAGAATGTTATCATCCTTGGTAAGAGGGTGTCAAGATCTGACCTTCAAGACTCAAAAATTCCCCTTCTTTCCACCTCGGAACCGGCGAATGGCCTGCCAAAACAGGTTGTTTGCCATTTGGAAATTCGACTCCGACACCTCACCAAACTTCTCCCAAGAATCATCTTTGGCTTTTGAGACTGCTTTCGCTGCCGCCTTGCGTGCCTCGACATATCGCGCTCGAGTAGAAGGCTCTATTTGTCCAAGCAATTTTTCGAACGTGCTTTTTTCTCTTTAACTGTCAGCTATACCTCTTGTGTCCACCAGGAAGATTCTATCTGACCTCAAGACTTTAGGCCAACCCGTTTAAATCCGCAACATTCGGCGGTAGCTTCGAACATGCAGTTTTTCAAGAGATGCCTCTCGGTTTCCACATCAGTTGTCATTACCAGGATATATTCAAACCGTCGTGAGGTGTTGTGTGCAAATTTCGTTCTCCTGTCCATCGAAGGTATTCCTTCCCATTTGATTCTCCGGTTGCTTCTGCCACCAGAACTTCGTATAGTACTCTGTTTTTGACAGCGCAGCGTATCAACAAAAAGGAGGTGATCGGTTGATAGCTCTGCGCCTCTTTTACCACGAACATCCAGTGCCAAGCATCTTAAGTCAGACGATACGGTTATCAAATCGATCATCGACTTCTGTGAACAAGCTTCCCGGTACCAGGTATACTGATGCGCTCTTCGATGCTCCCAGAATGTGCTGATGATGGACAGTCCGTTGTTTGCACAAAACCGTAGCAGCTTCACGCCGTTATTGCTGATGTCGCTAGGACCGTTTCTTTCAATCACACCGTTCTATTTTTCAGCATCTACTCCGTCATGTGCGAAAAACTGCACATGAGAATGAAGTACTCTGTATTCGGCACTTCGTTTAGAACACACTGCAGTTTCTCAAGGAAGGTATCATATTTCTCCTCCAAATTGGATGGAAAGACCTGTACCAAAGTCAAAGCTTTAGCTACTGTTGCTACATTCGAAGGATTACCACCCTTCCGTTGACAGACTTTCAATCAATGATTCTATCCGCGAGGTTGGGTTCTATCCGAACACAAACACCGGCCTGAGCGTGAGTGGTGATGTAGACGCCTGAGTAGAATAGATTCCATTCTTTGATGTTCAGGTGTCCAGAGCCTTGCCGTCTCGTTGACGAGAGTCCAACAGTGTCGAGTTGGTACTTATGGCCTGATCAACTAACTGTTGTTCTTTCCCTTTGAATGAGGATATGTTCCAATTTTC